GCACACACACGCATAGCCTTTTCCCAATATGCGTTTTTGCAATTTGCATATATGCAAAAACGCATATTGTGACGACCCCGGCGCGTGTTTGTGTGTATGTGTGTGTGTATGTGAGCGGTCTATCCAGCTAATTCAACTCGGTAACCAAGCATACTCCGGCGCCAAAATTTTGCCAGTGAATTCTTGGCCAAGTGCCACCTCAGGACCCGCGGTATCAACCCTCAATGAAGCCGACTCTACAACTGGCATGCCACTCTGCTGCACAATTAAACTTCTGAACTTCGAGGGTTAGTATGTCACGAATTCTAGCCTCTGCGATTCCTCGCGATCTTGCTACAGCACGAAATAGTGTAAAAACACATGATCGCATCAGTCCGCCTGGTATTTTAAAGCCTGGGTTAAAATAATCTTTTGAACTCATTCTCTCTAATGGAACAAGCCGTTTAAACGTCGTTTACCGCAATTTTTTGTGCGCTTGCTACAGTCGGCAAAAACGCATATTGAAGAGAGGCTAGCAGTGTATATGTGTGTATATGTGAACTTTGTCACCTGTTTTCAATTTAGCAACAAAAAGCTGGAATATTAAGGTTTTTGCGAGCGTGTTACCAGCACACGTATCATTCTTACAATCTGAAGTCATCGCTCACGCGCGTCCGAATATCACAACGAACGCAGAAAAAATGCGCAAATTTTGTGGCAGGAAAACGATTTCTAGAACTAGACAAGGCTGAAATTTCACGTTGATGTTCCTTCCAAGCAAGATTCAGCTTTCGCGCTTACGTCAGGCTATTACTAAACCCCGCCTCGGCTCGATCAGCGCCATACACGATATCTAAAAAACTTTTTGGTTGGTCCCCCACTACAGCAAAGGACGATGTACGCCGCAGATGGAGCGAGGGTAAGGGCCGATGTGTACGGGTTTCGAGGGCGGGGATTCGAGGCAGGAAGAGGGGGATGGGTGGCTGAATTGAATGACTATGTGGCGTATTTCGATGGTTTGTTAGGCCACGTAAGGGAGACTGAAATACTGCTTACTTCTAAAGTGCGCTTATGATAGGGATGGAGAAGAGCTCGGATGTTGCCTTGCAGGCAGAAACTGGGGGGAGAGTGAAAAAGCGGAATGAGGATACAATCCATAAACCCGAGACGAAAACAGAAAATAGCTGTAAAGAGAAAGAGAAAAAAAGCACTACAAAAAAAGTAGATTAAAATAAACTTGAGATCAGCAATAAAAGCAAAGTCAAAAAAATGTGAACCTAGGGCAAAACAAAAGTAAAAGCAAAAGAAATCACTGGCGACGCGTACCGGGCTGGCCCCAACGATCATGCGTTTTTGCAATATTTCGCGCCGTAATGAGATCGTTCAGGAACCCAGTAGCTAGAAATGTGTGGTGTACTGGTCCTCGAAGCCTGGGAAGTTAATTTTCTATGCGGTATTTGGACAGGGAACATTTCGTTGAAATTTCATTTTTCCAAATTTTCTTCTTAAGTTAGCAATTTTGCTGCCAAAAATATTCACGAGGCTATACGTGACAACCACGCATGCCCGGGGTGCTGAGTTTGATAAATTTAAGCCGTATGGGTTGGGAAAATTTCCTGAAAATTTCAGCCTCCTGGCTTTTCTGGTTCCCGAGTTATCCATTTCAGTTCCAAAAACTTTCACGGGGCCGTAAGTGAAAACCATTTGCACTGAGAGGCTGAATTTGATAAATTTAAACTGCACTCGAGCTGGGAACATTCCCTGAAAATTTCAGCCTTCTAGCTTTCTTGGTCCTGAGCTAGCCATTTTCGCGCCAAAAAATTCATGGGGCTGCACGTGATAATCACGGTTGCCTGGGGGCTGATTTTGTTAAATTTAAGCTGTACATGTGCTGGGAACATCCCCTGAAAATCTCAGCTTCCCATCTTTCCTGATTCCCAAGTTAGCGATTTTTGCGCCAGGAAACCCTGCGGAGCCATACGCGGGAACCACGCATGCCTAGGGGTTGAAATATATGAGTTCCATGGAGACGGGGGACATAACCTCAAAATTTCAGCTTTCTAGCTTTTCTGGTTGCCGAGTTAGTGGTTTTCCCGCCAAAACATTCACCCCCTCGCACGCGGGACCCAGACTTGCATGAGGGCTGATAAAGCGGTCCTAGGATGGCACCTGGCCTGGGAACCCACCAGCAAAATTTTGGCGCCGGAGCTTGCCTGGGTGCGGAGTTGAAATACCCGGACAGACTCACACACACACACACACACACACACACACACACACACACACACACACACACACACACAC